ATTTGGCATGGCCTTTTTCAAGTGCTGAAAAAAAGAATTGTCATCTGCAAATTCTATATCAACCAAAACTACTCTTCAAGAATGAAAGCACATGTTCAGATATATCAAGACATATTTGGAAGAAGTAAAACCTAGAAGAATATGTTTCCAAAATATAGTGGCCACAACCACTGTGGAAAACAGTCTGGAGGTTCTTCAAACATTTAAAAATAGGACTACCTTAAGACCTAGCAATCCCACGTGTTGGTATAAAACCCAAGGGAATGAAGACGGCGCTTCAAAGAGGTGTCTGTGCTCTCGGGTTCACTGCAGCATTATTCACAATAGGCAAGATACGGAAACAACCTCAGTGCAGCCAGTGGATGGATGGACGGATAAAGAAGGTGTGGTGTATATACAATAGAACATCAGCCATGAGAAAGGAGGAAATCCTGGCTTTTGTCACAGCATGCAAGGACCTTGAGGACGTCATACTAAGTGCAATAAGACCGACAGAGAAAGACAAATACTGTGTGATATCACTTATACGTGGAATCTGAAAAAGCTACACTCATAGAAATAGAGTCTGGAATAGTGGTTTCCAGGGACTGGGGTTGGGGTGAATGGGGAGATGTAGGTCAAATTGTACAAACTTCTAGTTTGAAGGTGAATAAGTTCTGGGGATCTAGTGTACAGCACAGGGATTATAGTTAAGGATACTGTATTATAGACTTGAAAGTTTCTAAGAGAGTAGATCTTTAATGCTCTCACCACAGAAGAGAAATGGTAGTTGTGAAACATGATGGAGGTGACGGCTGGCACTATGGTGGTTATCATTTTGCCACATGTAAGTGCATCAAATCAACACGTTCTACACCCGAAATGTATGCAAATGTTATATATCAATTGTGTCTCAGTAAACTGGGGGGAAAAGGCATATCTTGAAGCATAAAACTAGAAGAATATGTTTTCAAAAGACATATCCTAAGGAACGACTATCAGGAAATTCTCTAAACAGAAAGGAAATGATAAGGAAGGAATCTTGGGACATCAGAAAGGAAAGTAGAGCACGGTTAGAGCAAAACTATGGGTAAATACTATAGACTTTCCTTCTCGTCTTGAATTTTGTAAATTATGTTTGATGGTTGAAGCGAAAACTTTACCACTATCTTATGTGGTTCTAATTCTATGTAGAGTACACGCATCAGATAATTAAATTGTGGAAACTAACACAACATTGTAAGTCAACTATACTTCAGTAAAATTTAAGAAAATAATTAAATTGTAAACGGAGGATAAATGGAAGCGACGTGAAGCAAGCTTTCTCCACATCACGGAACTGGGGAGGTAATGACACCAGTGAACTGGGACGGTGTACAATATGACACCTGCAATGACCATTAAATAGATACACTCAAAGCCACTAAAGATAAATAAAACTGGATTCCTAAAAAATGCCCAAGTAACCCAGCGGGACTCAGGAAAAAGAAAACAGAGAAACGGGCTGTTGTGGACTGAGTGTTTGTGTCCCCACTGGCCCCGAATTCATACGTTGAGATCTAATCCGCACCGTAATGGTATTTGGAGGTGGGGCCTCTAGCAGGAAATGAAGTCGTGGCTGTGGGGACTCCTGGTGGGATTAGTGCCCTTGTAAGAAGAGGCAGACAACCTGCTGCCTCCGCTCCTCCCTGGTAGGCACACAGAGGGAAGCTGGCCGCCTGCACCCTGGAAGAGGGTCCTCACTGGAAGATCACCATGCCGGCACCCTGATTTTGGCCTCCCCGCCTCCAGAACTGTGAGAAGTAAATAAACAAATAAGCCACCCAGCCTATGGGACTTAGTTATACCAGCCTGAACCTACTAAAACACAGACAGTCACCAATGACAACAGGTAACCAGAGAGAACAAACAGAAAACAGAAAATAAAATGTCAGACTTACCCTAAGAACAGAAATTACGTTACAGTTGATTGGTCTAAATACACCAAAGACAGACATTGGCAACATAGATGAAAAAACATGACCAAACTATACACTGGATACAAGAAACCTACTTCAAATATAACAATATAGGCAGGTTGAAAGTAAAATGATAGTAAAGATATATCATGCAAATAGTATTTGAAAGAAATGAGGTTATATTAGTGACAGATATTATACTAATATCAGATTATATTATATTACTATCAGATATGTCAGACTTCGGAACAAAGAAGATTACCTGAGGTAGAGGGAGTCATTATATGACAGAAGAACCAGTCCACCAGGAACACATCTCAATTCTGAATTTGTTTTCAATTTCACCAGTGTTGCTAATAATCACACAGCATGTCTTTTTCTTGTCAAAGAGAACTGAAACCCTTTTTTCTTCTCCCTCTCTCTCTCTCTCTCTCTCTCTCTCTCTCTCTATATATATATATATACACATATGTATATATGTAGTCTTCTATATATGTATCAGGATAAGCCTGTTTTTCTATGAAGGAAGTAGGCATAAATATTAGATCAGTTATCTATGTATACTTAGTGTGTTTAAATAATTTTGAGCTCTGGTTTTACATCTTTAGAAAATGATATTGTTTCTGTAGACCAGCATTTTTTTTTGGTTCCAAATATTAGTATAAGATATTTCTACTACTTCGATCCTGTATGGGGGTATGGTATGTGCATGCACACACTCTCACACCCACATACTGGAGAATTCTTTGAGTTCCATGGTTGCTACCAAGATCCAGGGTCCAGACCACATGGGGTCTATATTATGCTGGCCAAGTGGATTGCTGGCTCTGACAGTAGGAAGATTGACTTTTAAAGAGAAAGACATCAAAAGACATGTGGTCCCCTTCTCTCAAAACATGTGGAATATAGTTAGTGCACAAGGGATGAATGGAAATGAGTTTCGGGACTGATTTACCTTCAGTCTTTCTAGAAAAAGAGACATTTAGGCCATATTTGAATTGAAGTTAAATCAGCCCCACTCCCAAAACTTATTCATCCCACACACACACACACACACACACACACACACATATTTTTATCCTCTTAACAAAGATTTATACACCATAAGCCTTCTTACCTAACAACTAACCTTGTCATAGTTTCCTAGTCATTTATTTGTGGATCAGGTTACCTGTTCAAGGTAAGACTGGATCAGGATGTCTTGATGAAAAATTGAAACTTGACTCGATGTATTTGAATCAATAAAGGAACAGGCATCAACAAGAATGTTGATACCTGATGTCACTGCAAATTTACGTAATTTTCCTCCTAAAATGCCACTAATAACTTGATAAGTATGTCATATTATGTGATGACAATGACGTCCTTACTTTCATTAAAAACAACCAAACTTCTTTATTATAGAATTGTCATAATATTGCCATTTTCGCTTTTACCTCTTAATCTCCCTCACCTGTTTCTCTCCTCCCCTCCCCCTCTGGCAACCACCTGTCTCTTCTCTGTTTCTGCTCTGCTATGTTTGCTTGCTGCTTTTATTTCTTAGATTCCACATGTAAGTGAGATCATACAGTATTCGTCTTTCTCTCTGACTTATTTCACTCAGCATAATACCCTCTAGGTCCATCCATGTTGTTGCAAATGGCAAGGTTTCAGTCTTTTTTATGGCTGAGTAATATTCCATTGTGTATTTATACACCACATCTTTATCCATTTATCCATTGATGGACACTTAGGTTGCTCCCATGTCTTGGCTATTACAAATAATGCTGCTATAGGGGTCCACGTATCTTTTCAAATTAGTATTTTCATTTTCTTTGGAAAAATACCCAGAAGAGGAACTGTTGGATCGTATGGTAGCTCTATTTTTAACTTTTTGAGGAGCCTCCACACTGTTTTCCACAGCGGCTGCACCCATTTACATTCCCACCCACAGTGCACGAAGGTTCTCCTTTCTCCACACCCTCGGTGACATTTGTTGTTTGCTGTCTTTTTGATGACAGCCATTCTGACAGGTGTGAGGTGGTGTCTCATTGTGTTTTTGACTTGCATTTCCCCTGATGGTTAACCATGTTGAGCATCTTCTCATGGGTCTCTTGCCATCTGTGTGTCATCTTTGGAAAGATGTCTATTCAGGTCCTATGCCCACTTTTAAAATGTGTTCTGTACACAGTTCACTAACAACAAACTATCAGAAAGAGGAGTAAAGAAAACAATCCCACTTACAATTGTACTGACGGGAAAAAATTACCCAGGAGTAAATCTAACTAAGGCGGTAAAAACCTGTACTTGGAAAAGGATAAGACACTGATGAGAGAAATTGAAGGCAACCCTAATGGAAAGATATACTGTGCTCAGTATTGGCATTTATTATTGTTATTAAAAATGTGAGAAGAAACAAAACTGGAAGGAATATTTCTTTCATCTTTTGAAGAGAAAGGTGATATTAACCTGCAGAACAACCCAGAGTTGGAGTTGACGTCAAGAACCGCCTTCTCCCTCCCCCTTGTGTGACCTTGACCTTGTGCAGGTCACCTGACCCTGTAGGTGACAGTGACGGTGCTGAGGACGCAGACAGGACAACCATGAGGACTGAGAGAGGCCGGGCAGCCCTCATCACCAGATTTATCACCGCTCTGAGACGTGCAAAAATTGGTCCTTCTTTCACCTATTTCTACCCAAGCAACTATGGTGGCAAAACCCCTTACTTTATGTTTTTTCTTTTTATATTACTGACCTTGATTTTTCACCATTTTTACCTAATTAGGGTGGCTTTACCTGATTTTATTCCAGCTTTCTGTAGACTTGTAATTTTCATTTCCGGTATTGCTTACATATTCTTCACCCTCTTGGCTTCGCCGTGCATTTAATGGCTACCTTACTGGAAACAGAACAATCAGCCAGGGAACGGTAGTGGATGGTCAAGCAGTTTAGAGACTGACTTTCTACTGCATTACCCTGGTAAAATGTCAGATTTTCTCAAGACACGCAACACTTCCATTTCATGGACTATTAAACAGGAAAATGTGCTTTCACTCATCCAGTTTCCTGTGTCCTCTCGTGCAGGCATGTCGAGCCATCGATCATTCCCTGCGGACGATCCCGGGTGGAAAGACTCGTGGGCGCTCAGGGACGTCCATCAGGCCGTCAAGGGTGAGGAGAAGGTGGGGGAGATGAGGGCCCAACACCCTCCGCTTTGTAACAGGGTATGACTTCTCACGGTGTAACAGCGCACATTCATCCTGGGATGAATTTAACTCTGCTCTTTGTAGCAAAGAGGAAAGATAGCCGTGGCGTGCCCCTCGCGTCTCCAGTTCCCAGACAAGGATGAGGCTGGCAGCTCGGGCGGGAATGTGGTTTCCTGGCCCCTTTACCTCGACTCTAGGGAATAACAGGAACATGGTGTCTTATTCACAGCCCGTCATCCAGGTTGTAGCAGGAGATTTCTTCCGTAGAGATGGCTCCTGGAGGAGCCCCGACCCGTCAGCCGCCCTCTGGAAGAGCTGAGTGAGCTGCCGGCTGGAAGGCTCCTAGGTGAGCCATCGGGACCCTCCGACGCCAGTGCCGGGGTGGCGCACGGTGGCCCCTGGTATGTGTGTGCTCCATGCACGGAGACGGATTTACTGGTGTGCGGCACCCAGCGTGGTGCTGGCTGCTGGGGCTGCGCGTGCCTTTCCTGCATGTCCCTGAGGAGTCTGAACGATTGGAGTGGAATTAGGGGCCAGGGGCCAGGGACCTGCTCATCCTCTCCAAGAAGCTTATACGCTCATCAGAAAGGTGGAACAATGTGAATGGTTAGAGATCTTCAACTTTCAAAGCCTCCCGTCCTCAGCAAGGTCAAGCAAGGCTGTGACAGACAGCGGCATCTCCAGCTGGCCCGGCATGCACCAGTGCTGCCCACACCTCCCCGGGAAAGGTGTCCTGGGAGGAGAGGGCAGAATTGGCTGCGGGCCCTGCAGCCCTGTCCCGTGCCCCTCAGCCCTCCCCTGCCCGGGACAGGGAAGTGGTCCCGGAGGTGTTGAGTCATCACCAGGTGCTGCTGTGCAGGGGCGGAGGGTGCCGGTGGCCCAGGGGTATCGATCCCACCCTTTTCCCGTGGGAAGTAAGTTCATGTTTGTGTGGCCAGCTTGCCTTGTCTTTCTCTTCCTTGCAGCCAGACGCCTTCCTAAGGGTACAAGGTCCTGCCTCAGCTGCTGCTTGCCCTCCTGTTCATGCTGTCTCACTGCAGTGTAGACGATGTGAGTTGTGCAGAGCCCTTGCCCAGTGGTGTCTGGTGGCACTGCCAGCCACTCTGGCCTTGGTTCTGTGCCGTTTGCAAGCCCATCTCAGGCGGTGTCTTCACACGCGCCTCTGCTGTCTTGGAACGGCTTCTTCCCGCCCCTCTCACCCCCGCCCAGCCAGCACTTCATGGCCTGGACGACTCCTCCTGATTCCCCGGAGCCTCAGTTTCCCTGTTGCTGTCAGGAAACGTAGACACAGAGCTCCCTGTGACCCTTGCTTTAAACTCTCACAGCAACATTTATTTTCCTTCAACATGTTCATCATAGTTATAAGCAAATAATCCTTTGGGTGGTGGAAAGGTGATTTTTTTTCCTTGTGCTTGGCTGCAAGAGAGCATGGGGCACGTGTTTTCGTGGGTGTGTTTGTCTGGCACGTGGCAGGGCACAGGGCACGTGAGGGGGACTTGAGAAGTGCATCAACCCGGGAGGAGTAGTGGATCAGCTCGTGTGCAGTGAACTCGGCCACGTGTTCCTGAAACGCAGGGACCACTGGGCGGACCTAAGAGCAGGAAACCAGTGCGAGTCACTCGGGCTGTGACGTTCCTAGTCTGCCCCCAGCGGGGCAGCTGACCTCGCCAGAGGCCGGCAGCCTGGGCACAGGGACAGGGCTCTGGCGGCAGGGAGGCCAGGGAGCGTGGGTCAGGGAGCTTCACGGGTGCAGTGGAGGAATACTAGACCCGGGCAGGTTCTCACGTGCTCGCCTTGCGCCCTCCTTCCTGCTCCCTTGCTGAAGCCTCCACAGCTGGGGCCGCCATCTGCACTCTCAGCTCAGCTGGCAAGGGGGCCGCGGGGCCGCCCCGGGGCCACCATCGTGATTTACACCGCCACACTTGTTCCACCTTCTGGGGAAAATGGGATGGGGTGAGACATAAAGAAACATTATTTCCCGAAGGTGGACTCCATTTCTTTAACCATTCATAAGTGTCAAAAACTAACTTACGACCCCTCGGGGGCTGGTATTATATTTCAGTGACTCTCCAGCTGTGATTGCTGCGTACATTCTAGAGCATCCCTCTCCCCCACAGGCACACCCTGTGCACGCACAGCAGTGGCAATGCAGCCACAGCCAGCTGTGTCCGCGAGCGGCCAGGGCGGCGGGACACCGTCACGCCGGGTGAGTGTCAGCACGCACCACACGGGGTGAGGAAACCGTCCCGTTCGTGTTGTTCTTGTGATTGATTAAATCTGGCTTTTGTGAGCCCATAAAAAGTGAGGCAGTCGGGGGACTCTGGGCTCGGTGCAAATGTGAACTACCTATGGCAGGTGCTTTCAGCCCTGAGAAGTCTGCCCATTAACACGCAGGACGGCCATCCTGTGATGTCGCGATGCTCTGTCTGGGCCCCAGTGAAAGAGAACGGGGCCTCGGAGCATCCAAACAGGCGTGGGGACCACGGCGAGTCCTCTGCTTCCCCACATGCAGGAGCCGTCAGGGAAGCACGAGATAATATAAAATTGCATGTTTATTCGTTATTAGAAGAGACCAAAGAGTATAGTTACCGACTGTATTTTTTATTATGGTATGGCAGTATCGTTTAGCCTTATTATATCCGCTAATCAAAAGTTTTCTTACGTTTTCTGAAGGGGCAGCCCCAGAGAGTGCCTGGCCTGGATGTGGGACCGCAGGGGAGGCCTGGGGTTGTGGAGGGATGGGGGGGTCACGCGGTGTGCCCGGACAAGGGTGAGGCACGGTATTTAATGGGACTCCAAAGAACAGACAACCCCCCTCAAACCTGGTAGCCAAGATAAATAATAGTTAATGCAATATTTAAAAAAAAAAATCATGTAGGCAAACTACGGTGCGCTGGCCAGTCGCCTGTGTTTTTTTTTTGTATTTTTATTTATTATTTTTTTTCCAGTCACCTGTTTTTGTAAATAAAGTTTACTTGGAGCCCCAGGGCTGGGATGAGGGTGAGGCAGGGCCCTGAAAATGCAAGATGGGAGCCTGTCTTTATTCTAAGTAAATAGAAAAAAGTTTTCTTACATTTTCTGCTCTGATGGTTTTGAAAACAGGGGCTCTTCTGAAATTTTTGTAATTTACTTTAAAATAACCATGGGACAGAATCAAGAGCCCAGAAATAAACCCTAAGCATCTATAGACACAACTAGTATTTGATCAGGGAGACCAGAACACTCAATGGAGAAAAGACAGTCTCTTCTGTAGATGGTGCTAGGAAAATTGGATATTCACATGTAAAAGAATGACCCCATCTTACACAAAAATTAACTAAAAATGGATTAAAGACTTAAATGTAAGACTCGACACCGTGAAACTCAGAAGAAAACATAGGAAAAAAATCTCCTTGACATGGGTCTTGGTAATGATTTCTTGGAAATCACGCCTAAATCACAAGCAACAAAATAAAAAAGAAACAAGTGGTACTACATGAAACTAAAAAGCTTCCGCACAGCAAAGGAAACCATCAACAAAGTAAAAAGACAGCCTACCAAATGGGAAAAACATTTGCAAACCATATATTTGATATGGGATCATATCCAAAATATATAGAGAACTCATACAACTCAATAGCAACAAGTGAAATAATCCAATTAAAACATGGGCAGAAGATCGGAAGAGACATTCTTCCAAAGAAGGCATGCAGATGGCCAACAGGTACCTGCAAGGACTCTCAGCATCACTAATCATTAGGGAAATGCAAGTCAAGACCATAATGAGCTGTCACCACACACCTGTCAGGATGCTTATCGTCAAAAAGACAAGAAATAACAAGGGTTGGCGAGGAAGTAGAGAAAAGGGAAGTCTTGTACAACGTTGGTGGGAATGTACATTGGTGCAGCGACTGTGGAAAACAGTGTGGAAGTTCCTCGAAAAGTTAAAAATAGAGCTACCTTAGGAGCCAGCAGCCCCACTTTGGGGTATTTATCCAAAGGAAAGGAAAGCACTAAGTCGAAAGTATATACGCACCCTGATGTTCACTGCAGCACTGTTGACAATAGCCGAGACATACAGACAGCCTAAGTGTCCCTCAATGGATGAATGGATAAAGAGGGTGTGTGAAGAGCACGTACACAACGGGACGCTGTTCCGCCACGAGGCAAAAGGAAATATTGCTGTTTGTCTCAACGTGGATGGGCCTTGAGGGAACTGTGTGAAACTAAGTGAAATAAGTCGGAGAGAAAGACAAATTCTGTGTGACATTACTATATGTAGAATCTAAAAAAAAAAATTAAAAACCCCGCCGAACTGCTAGTGAGATGAGATTTGCAGTCACCAGAGGCAGGGGAGAGGAGAGGGGTAAAATTGGAGGAAGGTGGTCGGAATGAACAGACGTCCGGTTGCAGGAAGAATAGGACGAAGGCTGTGATGCCCAGCGCGGTGACCATGGTTTACACTCTGCCCAACGGTGTACAGGAAAGCTGCTAAGAGAGTGCATCCTACGAGATCTCATCACAAGGAGAAATGTACTTTTTCTTTTTCTTCCTTTTTTGTGTCTGTATGAGATGCTGACTGTTCAGTAAACTTATCGTGATGATCATTTCACAATATACGTAAGTCAGGTCATCACTTGTACACCTCAAACTTACACAGCAATGCACGTCAACGATTTCCCAGTAAAACTGGAAAAACTAAGATAAAAAGGAAATCTGTCCTGTCCCCACGTCTAGTCCCTTCCTCTCTCCGCAAAGCATCAGACCCGGTCCCCTCCTCCGTCAGCCCCGCCAGCCCTCCGCGCGCCCTGAGCAACCCCAGGAGGCCCAGGCCCCTCTGAGGATGCGCACCGGCAGGCTTGAGCCCTGAATCTCTGAAAGCTCCACATCTCATCTAACTTTCACAGAACACGAAATATCACGTGGCTGAGAACTTGGGTCTGAGCCACAGCCCTGGCGTTAGGGATTCCACGCCGTGACAGAGGGAGAGAATTCCACCGTGAACGCGCGGATTCTGAGCAGATGCGGGAACAGCTGACCCGGGAGCCCCGGCTCCAAGCAGGTGGCGGATGCTCCGGACGCAGGGAGCCTGGTCGGAGGCACAGTGTGAGCAGCGGGTCAGGCCCTGCAGCGCCGGGCGGCTGAGTCCACGCCTGCAAGCCGCTCCCCAGTGGAGCCCGGCCAGGGCGGATGGCTGCCAGACAGCCGGGCGGATGAGTCAGCCCCGGAAATAATCCGGTTGGGACCCAGTGGGACAGCAGAGAGCAGAAGGGAGTCAGGAGCAACAGGTGGGCCGGCCCTCAGGAAGGGTTCAGGGACTCACAGCAGGTGGCGGGGGAATGAGGGCGGGGGGCGGGGGGATGGGCACGTGGTGGGACCCCGGGAGAGGGAATGGGCAGGCGGCGGGGGGGTGGGGGGGCGGCAGGTGGGCGGGCCCAGTGGGTGTGGGACCTGCAGGCTTTCCCCGTGATTCTGGCTGCAGGTGCCGTTCCGGCACGTGAAGGCCAGTGGGGCCAAAGTGCACCTCGTTCTTCCAGGTTATTGATCTGCTTTTAAAGGAAGGGGCTTGGGACACTGGACCGATATTCACTTTAAATTAACAGTTTAGGGCTTCTCTGTGTGATTTTCAAAATGTCAAAGGGAAGCGCAGAGGATCAAGTTGTTCCAAAGAATGATGGGGCACCAGAAGAGCATAGGAAGGGCGGCCTGGACGGTGGCGGGGGTGGGCACTGCGCGCAGGTGCGCTGGCTGCTGGGCGGGCCGGGACCGTCCCGCGTGGGCTGGAGCTCAGGCGAGCACTCCGGTCTGCCTTCCACCCGAGCGGCTGCACGTGGCTGAGGCCCCCAGGCTCACTCTGGGGAGGGGCTGGCCCCGCCTGGCCCCATCGGGCAGGCCCTGCCTCGCCCTGGGGGGCGCAGGGCTGGGCAGGAGTTCGGGGCACACGGCCCTCAGCGGTGCTGTCTGCTCCGCCCCTGGAGCCCTTCCACGACCTGCTCAGCCCTGACTATGGGGCAAGAGTTAGTCTGCACCCGAGTCCCGGCATTTGTTCAGGCTTGCGACCTGCATGAGCTCCCCTGTCCTGGGCTGACTCCGTCTCTGCACTACAGTTGGGGCAGAGGAAGGGCTGGTGTTACTGGAAAGAAACCCTTTCCGGATGCCCAGCCCCGGCCCAGAGATGGTGCTGGTGTTGTTTCCTCTGCCTCGAGTTCCAGCCACTTCAGCACGTGGCCCCTGGGGGCGGTCCAGGCCCCTCTGCATCCCTGTTGTAGCGTCGTCAGCACTGCCCGGGGGGCAGGGGGAGACAGGGTGAGGACGGTGGGAGAGCTGGTCCTGGGGCCGGGAGAAGGGGAGCGGCAGGAAGGGATGAGGCTGGGTGTGCACACATCTGCCAGAGGTGTGTGTTCTGTCTTCCAGACGCCTTGAGTCTGTGTTATCCCCATGGTGCCAGGCGAGGGCTCCAGCTTCAGGCCTCGCTGACCAAAGGGTTTGAAGGATGCTGCAGCCCAAAGGAGGCCACTTTTCCAAGGAAGAACGAGGGGACTTGGGTGGCCAGCAGCGTCTGGGGTCAGGGGTGTCAGAAATGGTACCTGGGGGGCTTCGCTGGTGGCGCAGTGGTTGAGAATCTGCCTGCTAATGCAGGGGACACGGGTTCGAGCCCTGGTCTGGGAGGATCTCACATGCCGCGGAGCAACTAGGCCTGTGAGCCACAACAACTGAGCCTGTGCGTCTGGAGCCTGTGCTCCGCAACAAGAGGGGCCGCGATAATGAGAGGCCCGTGCACTGTGATGAAGAGTAGCCCGTGCTTGCCGCAACTGGAGAAAGCCTGTGCGCAGGAACAAAGACCGAACGCAGCCAAAAATAAATAAATAAATTTATTTTTTTAAAAAAGAAATGGCAGCCAGACCAGGACTCCAGGGAAGCTCTGGACAGAGGCCGGGCCTGGGTGGCCCAGAGGGAGGAGTGGCCCGCAGGGCTTGGCCGGGGCGCGGGCAGGGCCAGAGCCATCTCCTGGGGCAGTGCTGGGCCAGCTCTGTCTCGGACCCGCCTGCAGATCCAAGTTTGCATTTTGACGGAACACAGGCCATCTCCTCCACCACGCAGTCTTCAAGGTCCCGTCCTCTTCACGGGTGTCCTTTCCACACGCTCTGTCCCTGTGTCTGGCTTGTATTTACTCCTTGGACCCATCCTGGTGATGAGTGAGTTCAGCGAGGTGGTGGAGCTTCCATCCTCTTTCTTTGCTTTTCCTGCGTGAGGCGGAGTTGACGTTCAGCTTGGACCCGTGCGCCTCTGCGTGACTTTCTCCAGGTGATCGTAGCTAGGCTTGTGGGATATCGGAGAAGAATGGAGAAAGACAGAAAATCCGTGTGGAGTCCCGAGGTGCGTTCTGGGCTGCGATGTCGGCGGCGGCGCCACTTCTGTCCCTGAAGCCGCGGAAGGTGTTACAGAACCTCTTCCTTCCCCCTTGTTCCCACCTGCTAACGGCCTAGTCTGTGTCGGCCGCATCAGTAGTTTCTGAAGCATCTTTCCACTTATGACCCCTCGTCCTAAAGCCTGTGGAAGGGGTTTGACGGAATTAATCTTCCTTTGCGTTTTGAAGGTTTCCACCCTTTCCTGTCTTGTTTCCTGTTCTGGGTCCACGTCTCTCTCCCCCCTTCTTGCCTTCGGCGTCTTCTAGGCGGTTTTTGGCAATTCGTCTTTGCTTCCCAGTCTTAGCGAGCGTGACAGCGCACGGGGGGATGTTCAGGGAGA